TGGGTTAGGTGGATCTGAGAAATGCTTGTAATTTCAAAGTTCAAAATGAGCCCGAGATAGGCTGTGAGAACTCCAGGCTGGTGTAATTTGCCCTCCTTTGGCCTCTAGCCTTTGTCTGATTCTATGCTGACTATCAGAGCTCAAGAGCTCTTCTGTCTCCTAAGGCCACTAAAGGCATCTTTTGGCTTCTGTTGGGAATGCTTTCACTATTTGGTGATGAGAAGGTATTTTCCTGTGGCACTGATATGGCTAAACCCCCAGCCTCTGTTGGGTTTGGTCTGGGATGACATTTACCAAGTGTATTGAGGGGAAGTCTCTCATGGAAATGGTTTATTGTTGTGATTTCTGAGCTTATAGGGTGAGCTGTTTGGTTTCCTTTTACAAATGCTCCCCCAGTGTCACCTGACTTCACTGTCACTGCCTTCAGAGTGACAGAAAGGATCTATGTTTGAAAGGAAACATCTTGCATTTCCATCTTGAATGTGACATGATCCCCCATGATGGCTTTGATAGGATTTCCCTTTCTATCACTAAGTATTCCATCAGGAAAGTCCTTCAAGCCAACGTTACATTCAGCAGGCATTTTGAGAGAGGCTGGCAATCAGGTATTCAGTTATATAAAATGTATGAAATTATCAAGAAGTTAAATTCTTGGTCACGAATCTCCTAACTGCTATAGTGGAGAACCTTAAAAAAAAAAGGAAACAACTGGATTTTTTATTCTTCTATTTGTCATGACCTTGGCTGGGACTCACAGTCCATATATCATCCACGACTTGGTCAGCAAAATTGTACTGACAACCTCAGTGAGGTTCTGCATGTTCCCCGGGGTACAGGCAATGCAAGGGGCAGGCATTGCCCTGCTTTTCTGCAAGCTTTGCAAATTGGTGTGCCATTGTTCTGCCACCAAAATCTGACTCATGGAACTCACTGGGTCTGGCAGGGTTCATTCCAAATACCATGGGGTGGAGGTGTTTTGTTTTCTGCTATCAGGGACTTTGTTTTCAGCTGGGAAAGATTTACTGATTGTGGCTTGTAGTAGTGAGGAGATGGAGCCAGAAGAGATCTAGAACAAAAGGTATTTTCCTTCTGAATGACTGTTGTGAGTCTTAATGCCTTCTGGTGTCTGGATGTGTTGGGAATATCTTGGGTGAGTTCACTGCATTGATTCCAGATACTTAGCACAGGAAATGGCCTCTTCCCTTGCAGCCTGCTTCCTGATGATCCCTCAGGGGATGTAAAAGCCTCTATCTCCCCAGTTTCAGCAGGAGCTTATCTGAAGTCATCTACTCAGACTGAGGGCATCTGCCAAGGGTGTGGGGCTGCAGCACAAATGCGCTGACTCAGCACAGCCTCTGGGGTCTGGGGGAGTGGCAGGTCCCACCCAGGAGACCCTGGGGCTGTGGGACACAGAGTCCTGCACAGGCAGCTGCTGGAGGGGGCCCTGGAGACCAGCTTCTCTTCCACCCTCTCCTCCTTCCCCAGACTGAAAACTTTGTCCCTTTTCATCCCTGGAGTTTCCAGGGATTCAGGCTGGGAAAAGGGTCCAGCCCTCTAGAGAGTTCAAGGTCTGAACAAGCCCCTGCAGATGGCTACAAGGCTTTCAGTGGTGTGCTCTGGGAGGTGTTCCTCCACCCTTCTCTCCCCAGCAGCTGGGCTGACATTGGCTCTCTAACACTGCTATTTAAAAGACTTTCAGATGTGTGTGGTCCCTATAAAAATAAATCTCCAAAGGAAACAAATGTTATGTGGTGAAAGTCTGCCAAGTCCCCCCTGCTTATTAGCTCATAGTATTATGTAGGAGAAACTTAACTCTATAGTCTGATATAGGATAATTCTTCGATGAACCCTCAGCTCTTTTGAAGATTCAAATTTAAAGGCTGTTGCTCTATAGGGTCAAGACTGAGCCTTTGGCTTTATGAGCTCTCAGTCATCAGTGCCCAGACACATTTGGCAGAGCCCTGAAATAGCAATTTGTCATTGCAGAGGCTTTTGGTGTGCAAGTTCACATCAAGCAAAGCTTTGAAAGCAGCGATGGGGGGATGACAATTTCAAAGGAGTCCAGAAGAACAGAGGTTAAAATGAGAAATGTAGTTAAACATGTGCTTCTAAATAGGTTGACTAGAGAATGCTGATCCAAGACTTCCTCCAAAAGCAGTGATCACTTGATTTTTTCCATAATTCTCAGCTGTGATGCTGCCAGGCCTTGGCTACTTATCACCCCAACTTATATCCTGTTCAGCAAATGTGCTGGGCTATCAGAGACAAATTTTTTATAGAAGTCAGGAAGCTGCCTAGCAAAACAACTGAGTGTTGGCACAGAGTACTTGAGACTGCCACTTCTCATGATGCTAGAAACTGGATTTTCTAGATGCATGTGAAGAGATTAGCATAAAACATACCCTTTTACCTGTAGTCTGTCCCTTTCCACAGTGTCACAGTTGCTCAGCAATGTCAACAAACGTCTTTATACTGATTTAGTTACACAGGCAAAAGTCTAAACGTTAGCGTTCTGGAGGAAAGATGATTCACTTGATTTAAAGCTGATAATTTAATCTGAAGAGCTAAATTTATTCTTTCCGTTACAGCTAGATGAAATTATTGACGGGGAGAAGAATTTTCTTTCCAATTCTCCATCACTCACGCTGCCTAAAATTGTTTAGATTATGGTGTCTCAGAGGGTGAGTCTCTTCTGATGTAAATAGGTTTTGACTAGCATTAACTCCTTAAGGCCAGTGAAGGAGCTCTTGTGCCTGAGCAACAGAAATGAAGTCAGGAGCAGGCCCTTGCATTTGTCGAGAAAGAGCTGCTTGTTTCTGTGCCAGTGTCTGTAGCATGAGATGATCCTGTTCTCACTTCAAGAGAAGCAAGGATGGTGTGATTTCACTGAGAACATGTGACATCAGTCTGGCTCCGGGGCTCTTCACCTCTGATGAGGCTCTGGCTGCTGAGATCCCTCTGGTCTTGTGACAGGATTAAAGAAAGACAACTGTACTGAAGGTGATTTGGGCACCATTTAGGAGTAACTCGAGGTTTTACTCAAGAGAATAACCATCCTTTGCTACAGAAACCTTATCCTTCAGGTGGGGACAAATGCAAGTTCTTTTGCTGCAGTAATTCTGCTTTTAAAAGGAAGTGCCCATGTTTCAAAAAGCTTCTGAGAGTGTCCTGAGCAGACCTGTCCATACAGACATGCTCTCAGATGTAGGAAGAAGTCAAGAGCCATCTGTTAATGCTGTTTGACACTCATTGCTGTCCTCAGAACTTTCCATATATGTCAAACTTGGGAGATTAATATATTGTGGTACAGTTCCACTGGGTTTACATCACCCTGCCAGGTTACTCTGGGGTAGTATCCAGATCCTTAGACATTATCCCAAACAGTGTGCTGCTTCTCTGTCAAAGCTCTGTGTGCCACCGAAGACTGGATTTGGTCTGCTTTTCTCTATTTTTCCCATTATTGTACTTGGCACATGCATAATGATTTATATCTTTGGCAAATTTTTAAAGCATGGATAAATTTATATTTACAGCAGTATTGTGGTAAAGGAAAGAATTGTTAATCCTGGGCAGATTAAGCTCGTGGTGATAAACGGCCAGGAATTATCTAATTTGGAATAGAGAAGGCTTGAAGTCCCAACATACCTCTTGCAACTGGATCCAGAGACCTACTGAAATATGCCCTGGAGAGCACAGATCCTGTTCTTCCCCGTGTTCTCCTGTGCAGTGATCCCACCACGCACATAAGGGAGCAGCCAAGAGCTTCAGCAGAGGATGCATGGGAGCCTTTGAATAAAAGGGTGGTTTCATGGAATAAGAAACTTTTTCCAAATGTCATGTGTGAAAGCTGCTGGCAGACAAAGACAAGCTCTCAGTGGGTTTGTGTCAGCGTTGCCTGGACTATCATGTACAGGGCAGACAAAGCTGGAATAAATACCAACTTCTTCTGTGTAAATGTGATACTGCTGTGATGTGCCAAAATGACAACATCTGATGTTTGCGCTCGAAACAGACACGGCGTTGTTAGGAAAGATTTCCTTCTACAGATGGGAAGATTCACATTTCCAAATCCCATTCTTTCCTAAAATAAAGGTGGGGCCAGCACCCGTGGGGCTAGGAGCAGGGTTAGTGGTGCTGCTCCTCTAGCTGCAGGATTGAAATCTCCACCAAGGAAGCAGGTGAAAGATTTTGCTGTCAGAGAAAGAACCCAGTACAATTTTGTAACAGCTGGGTCCTCCTGCAGTGGAAATTGAAAATAAACTTCTCGTGATTTGGGATATGAACCACACTGGATCTGTTTGGTTAAGCTTATGTCGAATGACTGCATCCTGAATCTCCTGGGGATTTGAATGAACTGGGATTCAGTGCTCTGGCTTTGGCTTATGTCCAGTGTTAACAGAGAAAAAGAATTCAGGGGCACCTCATGCAGAACCACCAAGTGAACCCTCCCTTTCTGCTTGCCAGTGTAAACCAGGAATGCTGTGTAAAACCAGTACAGGAGCAGGACTGTGCCCACTTCCAGCGGTCTAGGATTTTCTTAGTTGCCTTCCTAACGCACTGGAGTCTTGTGCCAGCACTGTACCACACTGCAGGATTGTAGCCATGACCCTCCTGTACTGCTGATCCTGTAGTACTGGGGCATCAGTCCCAGTTATTATCTTTTTTTTTTTTTTTTTTTTTTTTTTTTTTTTTTTTTTTTTTTTTTTTTTTTTTTTTTTTTTTTTTTTTTTTTTTTTTTTTTTTTTTTTTTTTTTTTTTTTTTTTTTTTTTTTTTTTTTTTTTTTTTTTTTTTTTTTTTTTTTTTTTTTTTTTTTTTTTTTTTCTGGCCAGATGCTTTCTTGGTGCAGTTGGATCCAAGGGGAAATTCGCATCTTTCCAAACATCACCCCTAAACTTGCCCCTTTAGACGTTTTATTTACCCATCTGTTAACCTATCCAGACCTGGAATAAACACGCTGTTTTACCCTCAGATACAGACTACAAGCAGGCTACTGACGGTGAGAGTAAAAATCACCGAGGCAAAGTTACCGCGAAGGGATGGAGCAAGGCACTAGGACCTAGGAGGCGTCTCATCCACCCTGGCAGGAATTTCTTGCTTGGAGCTCAGACAACAAAGGCAGAGTGAGCCTGGTTTTCTTTCTCTCAGCATCTCCACCCTGAGCGCTGAAAACCGGTGAGTAGAGCTTTTTTTGAGTGACTTGCATGCAGAAAAGTAACGGAAAGGAGGAATCTTTTCTTAGTGTCTGACAGCATCTGCAGTTCATTTTAAAATCAAAACCCCTGCATCCTCTGATTCATTCCCGAAGTTGCTTGGATGTTTCATTGTTCAGTGCATGACACCAGAATGAATCTACCCCAACTGGCATCGCGGGGCAAATGTTCCCAGTCTGGGGTTTCTCTGCAGATTGGCTGCATTGTCATCTGCTTCACTGCAGGCTGGGGACAATGATTTTTTCCTGCACAGGTCACGTTGACATTGTAAAATACGGGGAAGGAGCTTCGTTCTGGCAAATGTAAGGGGTGGGGAAGAGATAGCAACAGCTTTTCCTAGATTTATACCTGGCTGCCGAGTACTGGTGTAAATCCCCTTTCAGCCCCGTGTTAACATACAAGCAACATATAACATGCGAGTTCCGTGTTCCTGATTGAGCTGAGGGAGTGGAAAGGGTCTCTATTGCGGGGTTGGGGGGGGGGTTCCTTCTCCTTTTGTGTTGGGGTTTGGAGCCGGAGGAAGGTTGTTCTTGAGCATAAACTAGAGACTGTGCAAAATTCCTGCTTGCTGGGTGTCAGCTCCAGGCTCAGCTTTTCTGTGCTGGGAGCCCCCGTACTCAGAACAATGAAAGGTGAGGAGCAGGGGCGGCGTGTCCCTGGGGCACGGGCACTTCCAGCGATTAAATCACTTAGGGCTGGAAGGGGGAGGTGGAAATAGCCCCTTTATTTTCTCCTCCTCATTAAACGGGAGCAAAAATGCGATTCAGAGGAGACTAAGGCTGAAAAGAGCTTACCGAAGCTGCGTTTCAATGACAGATTTTTTTCTTTGCAGTCATTTCTTCTCAGAGATGTAGGCTGGTCCTGGGAATTGATTGATGGGCTAGGAGGGGGCTGCGGATAGGGGGAAGGGTGGGCTGGATCTCATTGCTAACCCTTATTGAACAGGCTGTCACAAAGAAACTGCTTATTCCCCTGTGACCATTCTTTCATAAATGCCAGTTTATTCTAATGTTAAACATTCAGATGCTCTGGGTCCTTCCGTGATTCGACAGATTGAAGGGCTGACTTACTGGGATCTCCTTGTTTTCTGTTGCTAAAGGAAACCTCCCAGGGCTCAGAGGTTTAATTCATTGCCAACTGGTGTTCGGATGAGTTCTTTGGGGCAGAGTTGCGATTGCCATGTATCCCTTCGGCCCCAAGCCCCAATTTACTGCACTTTGAAAACTCCCAGGTGCAGGAGCAGACAGCTCTCTAGAAACGTGCGCCCTGCCCCCAGTAGTTGGATCTCTTTCAAAATGCGAGGACCCCTCCTACTCCCAGTCCCCGGAATCGATACAAATCTGGGTCAGGGGAGGGGGCTCTTCCCAAATGCATCTGTCCTGCTCCACACACAGCCCTTGCATTAGTGTCAGTTTTCCCTGAAATCTGTGGCTCTGCTTGGTTCTAACCCCTCCCTTTGCACTCTTTCTCTCCCCATCTCCTTCCCGCCCAGCTTCAGATCTTTAGGGTTCACCAAACTATGGAACTTGATTTTGGACACTTTGACGAAAGAGACAAGGCGTCCAGAAACATGCGAGGCTCACGGATGAACGGGTTGCCCAGCCCCACTCACAGCGCTCACTGTAGCTTCTACAGAACCAGGACCTTACAGGCACTGAGTAACGAGAAGAAAGCCAAGAAGGTTCGTTTCTATCGCAACGGGGACCGCTACTTCAAGGGGATTGTATATGCCGTGTCCTCTGACCGCTTCCGAAGTTTTGATGCCCTCCTGGCTGACCTGACCCGGTCCCTGTCCGACAACATCAATCTGCCTCAGGGAGTCCGTTACATTTATACCATCGATGGCTCGCGGAAGATCGGGAGCATGGATGAGCTGGAGGAAGGTAATTAGCATCGCTGCCTGGTGCAGTGAGGAGGCGGGGTGGGAAGGGGGCTGCACCACTCGGGTCTGCCGATAAGGTCACATTTCCCCGGGCGAAAGGCAGGGATGCTTCTGCCCCGCTGTGCTGAACCTGCCCGTTCGCCTTCCCCTCCCGAGCGGTGCGGGGTGGGGAGGGGGGGGGAAGGCGGTGACACCCCCGTGGTGTCCCCAGCGCGCTCGCTCGGCTGCGGATGTGCAGCCAGAGGGGTGTGTCTACTCTCGGCTAGACACGGCTGTGTCCGCGGCTCGGGGGCTGTCTGAGGGTGTCCCCACGTCTGTGCCGGCTCTGGGGCCGGGGGGTGGCCCCCGATATGTGCAGGGGGTGGCTGGGAAGGGGTGTGGGTTTCCCTTGGCGTGGATGGGGTTGAATGGAAAAGCAAGGGGTGCTGAGGCATTCGTGCAGTGGGTGCGGGAAGGATTTATGTACTCTGGGTATAGGGGTGTTTTGGGGGGTATTATGCACGCAAGGTGTGCGTGAACAACCCACAGGGGTGTGGTCAGGGCTGTGCGGGGACGTGGGTGTGTGTGGAGAGGGGTGTTCGGGGTGCAGGCACTGCGTGGATGATGGATGTGTGGAAGGCGGGGCGTTGGGGGTTTTTAGTGCTTGGAGTGTGTGGAGGGGGGTGTTGGGAGTTCACAGAGCACGTTTAGGAAGGGGAGTTAATGAACAAGGCTTTTGTATGGAGAAGGGTGTTTTGAGCAGGTTGCACTCGGTGAAATTTGGGGGTTTATACGTTTGTCTGTGAAAGGTTGATTGCAGAGGAGGGGTTGGGATTTCCTCGGGGCCTTCATGCACAGGGTGTGCGCTGGGGTTTGTGCTCAGGGGGTGTGTAGAGGTGTGTTGGGCTGTGTGTATGTGAGGGGAGTGCTGGGGGGGGGTCTTGCACAGCGATGTGTGTGGAGAGGGCGTTGGGAGTTCATGTGCTGCGTCTGAATGTGGTGCATGCAGGGTCTGTGTGGAAGGGAGGTGCCTTGAGATGTTCCAGTGGGGGGGTGTGTGTGTGTAAGGGGTGTATTTGAGGGGTGTTTCTGCAGGGACTGTGTGGTGGGTGGTTGCTTTATTAGGTCTGGGGGGCAGTGTAGTAAAGCAACCCCTGTATAGCAGGTCTGGCTCAGGGAAGGTCTGAGTGTGCTCCTGTACGTAGAGGGGGTGTCAGTGTGTCGGTTCCTCTGCGTGTCATCGTGGGATGAAGAATGAGTCCAAAATCAATCCTTCTGCTCAGAAGGGGTGACCTGGGGGCAGGGTTGCTCCTGTGGAGCTCAGCTGCCAGCTGTGTCTGTGGCTGGGGTGCTCCCTCTGCAGCAGTGGGTGCTACCTTTCCCGTGGAGTGTCAGGAGGACCCCAGGAATGCAATGGCTTCGTGGCCCATCCTTCTTCCTTGCCCAAGGCATGATCGTGGGCAAGCTCTGCTGGCAGCAGAGCCAAAGTGGGGTGCACAGAGGGCACTCACAGCCACCCTGCTTTTCTCTTCCTCGAGCAATTCAGACATTCCATTCTTTGTTTGGACCTGGAATATCCTGAGTATTCTCTTGCAAGAGGGGGATTGCTCTTCACTGTTCCTTGATGTTTTCTTCCAAGCAGATGACCTGGCTGATTTGGTAACTGTTGAAAATCCACAAGGCTTTTTTGCCTTTAGTAAAAGACAATGGATGTGAATGTGTGAGGCATGAACTGCAGGGGCAGCCTCAGCAGTGAGTCATTGTGTGACCTTGACTAAAGCATCTCTCCCTAGAATTCCTTGTCTGTCAAGTGGGATACTCATCATTTCCCCAAAATACTTCGTGGGGACGAGAACACAGAAGAAATATTGTTCTCCACAGAGGAGTTTTCCTGGGAAGGAATCACTGCCTTTCAGAGTGATGATGTATCCTAGTGGGGTTATTCTCAGCACAGTTACAGCTGTCGAATGGAGGTGTGGCCTCCCTTAATTTTAGAGATTCTGCCATGTTTCATTCTGGTCTCTCAATATGGCCACAGCCTTTCCCTAATGGCAGCTCTCAGCCCTGTCTATCCTCGATTTAATGTCAATTTTCAGATATAACTCCTCGAGAGAATGCAGTTCTTTATATTCTCTTTTTATACTCTTCCTCTTCTTTTGTCAGTGAAGTTAAGAAACCTTTGTTATACCTGCTTTACACTGGGTTTTGCTGCAGGTAAGAAGGCACCTAGTTTATGAAAATATTTTTTGCTGGCTAAGGTACAGGCAGGAGATGCTGGCATTTGGGTTCTGGCTTTGTTTTGCCAAAATGGTATCTGGAAACAGCACTGAAAAAGGCACTAAAACTACACCAGGATTGTCTGTGTGGCTGTGTCCTCAGCAGAGCATCAGCTAGGAAAATATAACCCCAAGCAGAGTGAAAACAAAGGAACGCAGTGTTTGAAAATGCCAAAGTAGGTTTGTGTGCTGTTATTGACAGTTTAATAATAATACTATTTCATATTTCTAGGGATGACCTATGCATCTATTGCAGAAAAGCAATGTACAATACTGTGGTTGTAAAAACCCTTGTTGTTAGTTTGGGTGTTGTGTACTAAGATATATGCATGGAAAACCAGAACTTGGGAGTTACACTTGGCTGTGACGTACAAGAACAGTGTTCTCACAAGAAATGTATGTCTGCCACATAAATTAGCTTTCTGGTTGGAGACTATGGGTAACTAAACTAGTTCTAGTTGCCATAATGTGACTAGTTTATTATTGTAATTTCCAATAAACAAGTAGAGCATAGGAAAAATCATCAAAGAGGCTCATCTCAGTGGTTTTACCTCAAAAGCTGGTGAGTTACTGGTAATATTTCACATCATGTTCTAAGTACTTTACTCTTTCATGGTTTAAAAACGTGCTTATATAGTGTAGTCTGAATGTAATTTTGGAGGGTAGAGAATGATATTGCACAGTACCAATATCCTAGAGACAGACATCTCAGGTGAACAAAAACCACATGGTGTGCTGCTAATTAACTGGGGCTTGGAAATAACCCTTTTGTTCTCCAGACCCAGAGCTGGTAGTTTTCTTCTCTGGCATTCAGGGTTGTTCTCATAAGGTTCTGGATGGATGTTTTACTTCTCAGCTTGTCCAGGATGTAAGAAGGGAAGTCTGCTCACATCCCTCCTAGCTCCCAGCTGGGACGTGCCTCTTGCTCCTTTCCTGTACTGAACCCTAGTGCCTCACATTTTGGAAGCCCACAGGACTCTCTCACATTGGTGCTTTTTGCTGCCTGCTGAGTTCTTCCTCAGCTGTCACAGGCTGCTTTTTCCATACTGTACCAGTGAGCTGTCTGGTGCCCCAATGACCTTCTCTCAAAATCCACTTGCCTGATTGTTTTTTTTCTCCCTCCTTTCACTCCTAGTGGCCATCTTCCATCATGGTGGTCATTGTCTTAAACCTGACAGCCTATTTTCAGCATCCAATTTTCACGTATTTGTAACTAATGCACGTGCTGCCATTGATTAGGACTGTATTCCTCCTCAGCCTACATGCTGGTTAAGTGCAGTACAGCATCCTGTTATTGCACTGTCACAGCTGATCCTGGGGACAGGTAACCTGCTGACAGCATTCCCCCTTGTGTGCTGTCTTGGCTGAGTCAGGAGTGGATGTTGGGCCCAAGTGCTGCTGTTCATCATGGTTGGTTTAGTCAGTGAGTGAATCTTTTGGAAAAGAACACCTGGTAATCTTTATTCCCCTTCATATAATAATTGGTTCCAGTGACCAAGGCTTCAGGAAGTCAATATATGAAGCTGCATTTACTGGTGGGTCACTGTTGTAGCAGACAATTCTGTGATTTGTGCTGCGATAAAACCTGCATATGAAAGATGCTAAAAAAAAATCACGTGCCATCCTTTCCAACCATTCTCAAGCTGATTGTAGAGCAGCTCACGTTGTCATCCGAGTTTCTGCTAAAATCTAGTTCCTTTGACGTCTGGGCAGGAGGGTGGTTTGTTCTTTGGTTCCTTTTGAGCCTCTGTGTTCTTGTGGATTCAGTGTGATGAGATGGAAATTCTCCCCCCTCAGCTCTGATGGCTCTTTGTCTCGGCATGGAGGGCTGGGTAAAGGTGGAAGCTGATGTTGTACGTGGACTTCAGCAGCAAAGATGGCTTAAGAAACGCTGCTCTTGGCCACATGTTCTAGGCCCCATTGTCCCACAGATGAACTCCTTGTGGGACAACAGATTTATTTATCCCTCTGTAATTTTGCTGCTTTCTCATGTGGCCCAACAGCAGCTTCTTGACATGATGAAAGGGACAGTGAGGCACAACCCGAGAGTGAGAGAAAGGCACAAGACAGACTGGCTGCTGAAGCCATTGCAGCTCCCAGTTAACTTCAGTACTGGTGGACACTGGTTTGTTTCCCCTGTGGGCAGGGACTGACACTTCCTCCAAAAGCCAAATTTCTCACTTGTAAAGCTTGGACATTCACCACAACGTATTTAGAGGCACCGAATGAACGGGGCATCCTACTGTTCCAGGCACTGGTTCAGTGTGTAGTGACAGATAGCTCCTGCCCAGGGAGGTTCTGATCTGAACATGTGGGGGTGGAAGAGGCTTTTATCACTGATGAGGAGTGGAAATGCAGAAAAACAATTCAACTTGTTTGTCCAAAGCCATCAATGAGACGAAGATGGAAGTCAGAGCTCTAAGCTTCCTTGTTCAAGTGCTTTCATTCCCCCCCTGAGCCTTTTCCAGGGTTTGATCAGTGGTTTGCAAGTACTTCAATCTTATAGGTTTTTTGTTATAAGTGGAATTGTGACCTGCTTCTAGTTGGTGGCTCATTTCGTGTGAATTAAGTGCCCTTTGCTGTGGATGTTCAGGGTCAGAAACACGTGCAAATAAGCTCACCAAATACAACTGTAGCATGGATTTGACATGGCCAACAAAGGCAGAAATGCAGACACAGATTAAAACTAAAATTTGAGAGACTCAGCACTTTGTTCAAGCTGTAGAGCTTTTCCCTTCTGAGCTCC